AATCCTCCCTTTTCTCTCCCACAGTTCAGGGAACCCCAGGGAAGAGAAGGCAGCAAGTGTCTCAAGAGCCAGAGGGGATCGAGGATATAAGTAACACAAGCCCCTCTAAGTCAACACGAGTAAGGCTCTTAGGAACTAAGGACTGCAGCAGCCTGCACAGGGTCGGACAGCTCTGCACCAGGTCCTCTGCATATGTAAACTTCCAGTTGAGTGTTTTGGTGCAATTCCCGAGTGTGAACGAGTGGGTCTCTGATTCTTGTGCCTTCTCCTGTGCTCTCTCAATTGGTTTGTCTTGCCCAACTTTATTGTGATAGTTTTTACATTTCATTTTGTTATATTTTTCTAAGAAAAAAAAAAACCGAATGAATGCCTGGAAACATAGCCACTAGGGTAAAGGTTAAAAATGGAACTGTCACACCTGCTGGAACAGGGAAGCTCAGTTTTCTCCACTTTGTGTATATCAACCACACCAGGACAGGCTGTTCAGTAATTGACCAGTGTATAATGGGGTCCACAGGTTTTTGTATTTGTTGCAGTTTGATGGGTTTTTCATTTTGATTTTTTTTTGGGGGGGGGGTTATTCTGTTATCTTGATTTTGGGGATATTGTTATACTGGTGTTTTGTTTTGAGAAAGTATTTAAAGTTGGGTGTGAAAGGAGAGCAGATCTAGGTTTTGGGAGGGGAAGAATATGATTTTAATAATATAATGGGGGTTATTCATCTGAAATGTACAAGGAACTCCTACATTTTAACTCACAGATCAGAAACAATCTCAACTTTAAGCAATGGCACAAATCTGGATATCACCAGAACTCACATAGAACATCAGCTTGAGTCGGAGCTACAGACTAATCTTGTCAGACACTGAAACAGCCAAAGAGGACCAGCATGGTTGTGGAAAACTATAACCCCAATCTCAGCACTGGAGAAGCAGACGGAAGTGGATCTCTCCAAGTTCAAGGTAAGACTCTAATAACCCCTAACAAAGATGAGGAAACGAAAACAGGAACTCTTACTGCTGGTGGAAATGCAGTAACCTCCTGGGAAAGCCTTTTGGCAGTTTCTGACAGAATGAAACATCCCTACCACAATTACAGGCTTTGGGTTTTATCCAAGTGAGTTGAAAACATGTCCATTCATACAAAAAAGTGTATAACTGTTATAGCAGCTGTTTTCACAATTGCAAAGGCTCAGTGAGTAAGTGGATAAGCTAGACACCATCCATTTTTTATCTTAAAGTCAAAGGAAAATAATTGCCTTCCACGAACAACTGATTTTTTTTTTAAGTCTGACTGGAAGCTACGGCAAAGCATAAGCAAAGAAATATGGAAATATAGTTGACCCTTGAATACCGCTGTGCTGGATAGTTGTGTCAACTTGACACAAGCTAGGGTCACCTGAAAGAAGGGACCCTCAGTTGAGAAAATGCTGTGAGATCCAGCTGTAAGGCATTTTCTTAATTAGTGATTCATGGGGGAGAGGAGGGCCCAGTCCCATTGTGGGTGGTTCCACCCCTGGGCTGGTGGTCCTGTGTTCTAGAAGCAGGTTGAGCAAGTCAGTAAACAGCACCCCTCCATGGCCTCTGCTTCAGCTCTCGCCTCCTTGAGTTCCTGTTCTGACTTCCCTCAATGATAGACTACAATGTGGAATCACAAGCAAAATAAACCCTTTCCTCTGCAACTTGCTTCTGGTGTCTCACTGCAGCAGTAGTGACCCTAAGGAAGTAACCACCATGGTACAGCCTCTCCAGTTGAAGTGTGTAAGTTTTAATGTCCCCAGTCCTGGACCACTAGTGGTCCACGAGTTCTGGAAGCAAGCGCAACCAGAAGTGACTACAAGGTTGCTATAGTGTAGCATTTTCTATTAGCATGACCCTTCTAGTGTTAGATTTGATGCTTACATTCGCTATACTCTGAAATTTTAATCTAAGTTTTGGTAAATTTTTAACTTTTATAATCAATTGGTATGTATTTTGGTAACTATGCACATCTATTTTATACACTGAGATATCTTTTATAAATTTTTCAATAGTTCTAGGACATAAAATATGCTACCTTTTCAAATCAAATCTTCCTGATGCCCTGGCCCTCCAAGATGTGTCGGTGAATTCATCAAATTCTTCACACCCATGCTGTTCAAGAGTCAGCAATGCAGGAGGAATGCCTAGAACAAATCCAAAACTCTACTGCACTAAGGCTCTAGGAAATAACTCACCAATCTGTGTGCCCCTTGTTTTCAGAAATATGTCACTCAGTCTATCTGGAAACTAACTTCAAAATTCCTGAAATGAGTCAAATTTAGGATGGAGAAGGTCACAATGTAAAAGATGTCCCCTCCCTCAGCAGGACTGGCTGGGCTCCATTCACAGTGCACACGGCTGTGTAAAGCTTCCAAAGCGCTCGCTCTCACAGTGTTCTCAACACTCATTTTGTTCTCATGCCCGACCCTCATGGTTGGTGCCGCGTTCTTTGGGCACGTCGGACCATTTCCAAGGTCAAGAAACAAGCACTAACAGCATACCTATCTAAAGTGACTAATCTCCCTAGACAGGAATACTTTAGAACCCCTCCTTTGACAGAGGTGAAGAATGTAAACACTCTCTATATAAGACAACTAGGCAAAGAAGCAACTGAGCATGTGCAAAGATGCTCATTGCTAATCACTGAAGCAGAAATGAAATAGAACACTGTTAAAAATCAAACCAAAAACCAATGGAAAATATCAAGTACAAACAAGACACCACACAAGCAAAAGTGGTATAGTCACTTGAGGAAAGTTTGGTAGTCTCTGTGCCAGGTCACTCAGCCATCTGAGTCAGAAGACTGGAGTTCAGTGCCCAGCACCCACATGGCAGCTCACAATGCTGGCAATTTCAGCTCCAGAGGATGCAATGCCCTCTTTTGGCCTCCACAGATACCAGCACACATGGGATGCATACAAACTTATATAGGAACATATACACATGAATCAAAATAAAAATCTTTAAAAAATACACACTTAACCATCTGATGGAATGATCTTAATTCAGGATATTTACACAGAACGTGAAAACATAGAACCATATGACAACTTGCTACACATTTAGAGAAGCTTTATTTATTAACAGCAAAAATGCTGAACATACATGAAATGTCCATCGAGCCGTATATGGATACAATAACAAAGAGAATACTAAACAATAAAAATCACTAATATGTACAGTAAGTATATAGGTTATCTCAATGCTTTATGTCATGTAGACATTGTGAATCCATTTCTGGAAATCCTAGAAAAGGCAAAATTGATGAAATGCTGACCACTGGGCACCACAGGAGAAGGGAAATTTTGCCTGCAAAAGCAACAAAGACAATTTTAGGTTGATGAGAATGTTCTACATCAAGACTGCAGTGTGTTAGCTGCATGATTTTATACAGTAGAGACAACATACTGGAGCTATACTCTTAAATATATAATACCTTAAAGCTTTAAGAAGGTATGGGAACGAATGGTAACATGATTTACTTTGCTAGATATATCTTCAAATACTCTCCAGCCAAGATAGTTTAAAAAAAAAATCAGAAGAAAAATGCTGTTTAACAAATAATATTATTACAAATATATGGATATGCCATCATTTACTTAGCTTGGGTGCACGAATATTAGAAGAAGAATTTTACAGTAGATTTTGTTTTACAAATGCAACAAAATACAGTGTGCAATGAACTGACTTAAAATTATCCAAAGCCTTTTTCCCAGGTCAGTTAATTAGGAAGGTATCACATGCATGAACTCAATGCTCTTAAAACACTCTTCGTGTCTCCTCCTAAGTTTGCTTCAGTGGTGTTCCAGCTTATTCTCTGTTGTACACAGTGATGAAACACACACAGGCTTTTGTTTTTCATGACCTATTTTTTAAGACCACTCCAGAACAAGTCATTTTGAAGCTTGGAATGCACTTTCCAGTTAGCAACCCCAGTCTGTACACAGCAGTAGCAGAACCTTCAGAGTGATGAGCAACTCAATTCCCCCTCCCCCACCAGCTGCTGCAGAGATATCATGGTGCCGGGAGGGGAGGGAAATACCACACTTAATCCTTGTGAACTGCTTACCTGTAATCAGTTCTGAAGCATGCTTCCCTTGCTGTGGAGAAGAAATACTTGCTTGAAACACACCTTGACTTTAGGGCCAAAACTAGTATGTATTGTTACACCACTGTCACTCTCAGAGTTCAGGGGCAGACTTCATTTTGCTGAGACAATCCAAAAGAACAAATTCAGGATGCAGTACATTCAAATCTTCGCACAGTGCCAGGTGACATACACTCAAGACGTGGGAGGAGTAGCTGGACCAGTGCAGTCAGCAAATCCATAATCATACACCCTGGTCATCTCACGACTTATGAGGGAAGTTAAGACCACACTTGATTATCTCACAATGAGAAAACCAACATCATTAAGCTAGAGTTAGGGACTCAAACAAGAAACCAGGAAGTGAGTCAAAATAGTGAAAAACCAACAGTTCAACAGGCCTGAAAACAGCCATGTTTTGTCACACTCCTCCAAGAAGGTAAAGAAGCAAAAGAATGGTGTATTATAGGCTGGGGATGTGGCTCAGTTACACAGCACTTTTGCCAGCATGTGTGAAGCCTTTGGCTCAACCATCTCCAGGATCCTCGGTACAAAATGTAAATGGTAAAAAGATTATTTAATGTTAAAAATATTGCATGGACAAATAGTAACAAAGATTGTGTGAGGCTTATATGCATCAGACACTAGTCTGTGGTCCTTTACACATATTAGCATGTGTAATTCTCACAACCTTTACCCGTCCTTCAGACAAGGAAAAAAGCCTGAGCTGGGACAGAACCTCCACCACCACATCCACATGTGCTCAGGTGCTACAATGTACTACACAGCACAGTAAGGTGGCTAAGAACACTTGAAAAAGTTAACAAACAAAAATAACAACCAAGTGAGCTAAGTGATAGGTAGACTTCTAGAAAATGAACCAAGAAGTTAGCTGAGATTTACACATTGTACATTTTATTAAATACTGGGCTTTATTACATCAAACTTACTTGTAATAGAAGTTGATTTAAAAAAAGTGGCTGTATTCAAATTCTTAACTACATTCTGTTTCTTGGCCAAACATACTACTTTTACTGTCTCTAGGCAGTCACTATGGACAGAAAATTAATTTTACATAATGGCATAAAGGAATTTCTCAATGTTACAACACTTAATATACGGAAGACGAATTCTCCCAAGTGTGGACATATCTACAATAGAGTATATGATCAGAGAGCATACAGCTTTTCCCAGTGTCTTTACAGGAGCTAGATGACACTGTTTACTCATGCACATTAACTCTTTACTACCCACTGAAAGTTTCTATCTTACACGCAAAAGTGATTCATAACCCAAGGCTTGGAACTTTCCCAAAACCTAAAAAAAGAAAAAGAGAGAGAGAACCATGGACATCAGGTGAGTTTCAGGCCTTCACAGAAAGCTGTCAGCTGTAATAGCCCTCCTGTGACCGTGGTGTCAAGTTCCTTGGAATGGCCTTTTCCTGGGTTTTGATCAAGTCTAGAATAGCTGACAGTACTGCACAGTCTCTGGACTTAGTGTCGTCCCAGTCTACAGGGTGAGGGTGTTCAATCTTCTCTTGCAGAAGGGTATCCAGTTCCTTTCTTAGCCCCTAAGGTTGAAGGAGGCAGACATGTTCATCAGGGAAGATGGATTTTTAGATGTCAAAGACAAATGTGACTTTTGTGGTGACAAGAATTTCCATAAACTATTAGAAAGAAAGGCAAAATATCTGCCTTTCTTAGAGCAACCAACTAAAAGTATCGTTAAAAGATTCAAACATTCATCTCCAAAAGACTTTGGAAAAGTTTCTTACTATCAAAAATTATTTGGAAAACTGTAATCAGTCAACACTGGCTCTCTTGCCTTTTAGAAACATGTATTTATCTTGGAGGCATGATGTGTGCCGTGGACTGCATGTGGAGGTCAGAGAAAACTTCTACCATGTGTACTCCAAACATGCAAGTCACTGGGTCTTCAGGCTCGGCCGCAAGCTGCTTTACATGCTGAGCCATCTGGTGGTCCCCAAGAGCACACACTCATTTGCCTGCAAACTTACAGACAATCATTAATACTAGTTACCTTCACAAGGTGGGCAATTCTTTCTGGAGACTGAAACACAATCCATTCATCTACAGCAATGACTTCCTGACCATTGTCTTTCTGGATGGAAATATCTCCCCCAAAGAATAGCAGGCAGTATGGTGAAACTTCTGTACAGTCGTACAAGTAAATCTGTGAAGGGTGTTAACGTAAACAAGTGCATGAGGAAGTAGGAGCAGACTCCTAACCCCAGCAATTCAACATTCCAGACACTGATAGCTTCCTTCTAAAACAGGTATTAACCTGCTAAGGTGATTCTGAAGAAATAACATTTTAAATAAACCATTCTTCATTCCTTGAGATTTTACAGTTTTGTTTTAAAGTGTATGATTTCCCTTGAACATTTTCTGAATGCCAAAACTAATGAACACAAATAAAGCCTAGAGTACTTTATTTGTATATCAACATATAAAAAATAGAATCTCACTTTCTATTTTGACCACTACTAAGCTTATTAACTTATTACATAGCTAGATATATTGTCATGCCAACAAATCTTTACATAGTGCAAACTCCCGACAGCACTTCTTGAAAGCAGGCTCTCAAGAAAACCCACGTAAATCAAGTAATTCATGTACCTCATGAAAATACACAAAAAGTACATTACTCATAGAAATAAAGCTACACTGCATCTCTGAGAAAAAAATACCATTTTGAAAGCATAACACTACAACATTGACATTGAGATTACGCTACTGCGCACTTACACTGCTTGTCCTCATCTTCAGGTGATAGATAAGCCAGTTATAGTGAAAGTCTGTCTGCTCCACATTGACAGACTTAGGGTGAATGGAAACCAGACCATCAGACTTTGTGTGAACTTTTACCCTTTAAAACAGTTAGAATACAGTTCATAAGTATCTTAAGGCATTTTTCCCTTATTACTATAAAATATTGGTTTAAAAATAACAGGCAGCTTAGTAAAAAATCAAACAAAGGAAGGAATCTTAAAAAATATACCACACATGAGTTTAGTACATGTCTGCTATATATAATCTCAAAATCAAATTTTGAGGAAAATAGCATCTGATTAAGGACAGGTCAAAGCACATGAGCAAAATAGGATTCTTCTACATGCTAACAACAAATCCACTCACAGTTTTAATAACTGAACACAGTAGACAGGTGACAGAATCTAACTTCATGGTGTTAGTACACAGTGCACAATGAAGGATGAAGAAGGAACTAAGGCTATGTAGAAATTGATTCCACTTCTCCAAAAAGTGAATATATACATACACACACACACACAAAACAAAATCCATTCTAGCCAATTTCTCGTCAGGCATTGCTTCTCACACTGCTCGGTCAGCCTTTGATGTTTACAGAAGGTCCATGTTCTTAACCTGTTATATGAATGGGTGGTCAGACGAGTGACTAATCTGTGTGTGAGGACAGTTCCCTATGCGCAATAATTCCCACACATCTATGTTATCAGACATGCACAGAATCCAGCAACCAGGAATGAGAATACATTTCCACATCCAAAGATGAAGAAAGAGCTTGTAAATAGTTCATAACAATTTTCAATGCTTACATTTTTCTTTTTTTACCCAAATTTAGTCGGATTTTAGCAACTTTGGGATATAAACCGGCACAGATGACAGCTTTAATTATCTTCTCATTACCTATTGGGAGTAGGAAAGAGGGAGGGAAAAAGGGAAAATACTGAGACCATTAAAGGCAAGTGATTTTACACTGGTGTGTGTGTGTGTGTGTGTGGTGTGCATGTGCGTGTGCGTGTGCGTGTGCGTGTGTGTGTGTGTGTGCATCCTTTGCTTTGCTTTACCTGAATTTATATTAGCTTTAGGATCTTTGGGACTTCTACTGCTTACAAATCCAGCTCCAAGAAGATGCTCAGCAAACTGTCCCTTCATGTTGTGCAGCATCTAGAATGTAATGGTAACAAACGGCTAGAATTCTTCACACCGAGAGCCTACAAATCACACACACCTCAATTTAATTTTTAGCTTCTCCTATTTTACAAAAACACTGGTACAAAAATGTGATACATTTAAGACAACATTTAGTTGTTGGTGTTTTTGTTGTTTGGTTTTTCAAGACAGGCTTTCTCAGTAGCTACAGAGCCTGTCCTGGAACTAGCTCATGTAGATCAGGCTGGCCTCAAACTCACAGAGATCCGCTTGCCTCTGCCTCCCAAGTGCTGGGATTAAAGGCATGCGCCACCATCGCCAGGCAACAACATTTAGTTTTAATTACACGTGTGTGCTTTTCATGTGCATTCAGGTGCCTGTGGAAACCTCAAGGCTTCAGACCACCAACAGCTGGTGGTACAGGCGGTTAAGAGCTACCAGATGCATGTGCTGGGAAACTTGGATTCCTCTGCAGCAAGAGCTTTTAACTGCTGAGCTATCTATCTCTCCAGCTCAGCTCTTAACTGTGATCATTTAGTGAGGGAACTGGAAAATCAAGAAACAAGTTTCTGTAAATAAATTTTACTATAACACATCTATATTCTACTGTCTCTTCTTTCTGATTGCTTTTGTACTCTAATAACAGAGATAAATGTTTTTTAAAATACTAGCCTGCAAGACTAAATTTATTATTTGGTGGTGGTGGGGAATAAAAACTACATGACGTAAGGGGGGGAAAACATTAAGGTTTAAAGAATTAATCCATTTTGCAAGATGTGTAAGTTTTGGAATTGCCTTTTACTCTTTTAAAAAAAAAAGCAGAAACAATAACAAAAGAATCCAAACAATTACCAAGATTAACTACTGTTAGCCTACTGCACAGGAGACATTTTCTTAAGAGAAACCATGAGTCAAGCAGAATGATAGGGGGCTCAGTACAGCAAAAGAAAAATGTTGCCCACCTCAGTTATCTTCACAGTCATTAACACTGCAGACACTTCCTATGCAACCACACCAAAAGAGAAATAAGAAAGAAGTGTAGCTTAAGATGAGATCCACTGTGTGGCTCCTTACTTTTGTTTATTGAATTTTTCAAGCAGAATTTCATATAGCCCAGTTGGTCTCACACTATGACGCTGAGGCTAGGCCTGAATTCCTGATGCTCTCCTGTCTTCACCTCTTGAGTGTTAGGATTATAGGTATATTGTACCACTTTCACCTTGAAATGAGCTTTTAAATTAAAAAGCTTTTTTCCAACAATCATTATGATACAAATCTGTAATCCAAGTTACTTAGGAGGCTGAGAGAGAAGAACTGGGAGCCCCAGGCCAGCCTGGACTGCAAGCAAGACCATCCCCAAAACAAGCTTTTATAAAGAGAAACTAACTTTTAGTTAAAATGAAAGAAGTTCCACATAAATGAAATTCAATGGTCCAGATCAATCTGTTTTCAAAACCACAGAAATGTTTCCTAAGGAATTCCTCCAAGTTTAACAAAGATTATAATACATACAACTGGTTACAAAAAAGTCTTTTGACAAAAGGAATAAATTGGTTTACCTGTGTAATTCTTCTAAATGAGCCTGTCAGGTACATCCTCCTGGTCATTATAGCATTATGATTTTAGGGAAATGATCTTACAGTCCTCACTGTGTAGTTCCCTCACTACCTTTTTTTCCTTTTGTATCTAAACAGTTTCAGCATGCACTGACAATCATGGGACATGTAGGCTCCAGCGCTGAAACTTTCCCTGGTTCCGTCTGTCATGGCTGTTTTCAGGAACTCAGAGAAGAGCATGTCTTGAGTCCTCGCCCTTGTCATACACTTGACAAATCTCAACTGGACATGCTATTCTCAGATGACTTGAATTTAGCCATCTTTCCAAAATATAGTGCAGTTTGTTTTTCCATTTCAGGGAACGGTCAAGGAAAAGTGCCTGGGCAAGTTTCCACTACACACGATTCTTATGCAGTGATGCTCACTGCACTGATGGATCATTCTTATCCTTAACTTTCATTTATCACTTGAATTTTGTGGCTTTCAGCTGCATATCCTGAATGCCTAAAGCTTCCCTTTATGCCAATAATTTTCTTTCTTAGGAGTCTGTTTTGTAGCGTTCTTTGGTCTTCAATCCGGGTTCTTAGCAGACCCCAACCCCATGCCCCTTGAAAATTCACTCTTACTGCCTTATTTTCTTGCCTTTGTTTTACGGAATGTATAGTCTTTTCAGGAACCCTATCCTATGATAGAGTTATTAAGGTATTTCTCTGGAAATATCCTATGTCCTTTGTAATTTTTGGCTGTAGTATCTTTCTGAGTTGTTGTATCACTTTTCCCCCTACTGATGACTGGGACTTTTTACTAGAATGTCAATTTCTTGACAGACACCCATACTCTTTGTATGTAGTTAATTTTACTACAGATATAACTGGACAAAATGCCTGCACATATACTAATCTAGTATATATGATTAGTGCAAATCTTTCAGCGTCACCTGCAGCGTGTTTGAAGACAGAAAATATTCCCAGCAGTAGTCTTTTTCGTATCTGAAACCACGTCGCTTAGCTTCTTCCCAACCCTATTGGACAAAGAAATGACGAAACTCAGTTTCAATGTTCTACACTGTTGTAAGAGGGCCACTTGCTTGTTTCCCAGCTGCCCAGACTCCCGAAATAATCACACAGAAACTGTATTAGTTAAATCACTGCTTGGCCCATTAGCTCTAGCTTCTTATTGGCTAACTCTTACATCTTGATTTAACCTATCTCTATTAATCTGTGCATCACCACAAGGTCATGGCCTACTAGCAAAGTTTTAGCACATCTGTCTCCGGCAGTGGCTCCATGTCTTCTCTTTGACTCGGCCTCCTTCCTCCCAGCATTAATGGCAATCACAGCATACAGAGGGGAATCCCACACCACCACACCAACCACTACTTAGCAGTTTCCATCTTTATTTTACTAACAGTTTATTCACTGGTGTCCCATATTCTCTGCAAAGACGTCAAGACTTTTAAACTCAGAACAACAACAAAAAAAAACTAAGCTCCTTACGATTCTAGTACCTAACATTGCTACTGAAGTGCAAAATAGTGTAAGTTATACTAACATATTGTGTATTTTGCACAAAATCTTTCCATGGTGTATCAAGTATTCATCAAAAAAGAATATTAGTAAATAAATTTCAATGTTCTCATACATTTTCAATTTCAAAAACATAGTTTTCTTAAGTAGAATAATAAAAGGCAGGCTGGAGAGATGGTTCAGCAGTTAAGAGCACTGGTTGCTCTTCCAGAGATCCTGAGTTCAATTCTCAGCAACCACATTGTGAATCATAACCATTTATAATGGGATCTGATGCCCTTTTCTGACATGCAGACATATATGCAGATAGAGCACTCATACACATAAAATAAATAAATCTTGAAAGAAAGAGAGGAAGAATGGAGGAGGGAAGGAAGGAAGGAAGGAAGGAAGGAAGGGGAAAGAAGGGGGTGTCTGTAAGATGGCTTAATAGGTAAGTCTCTGCACCCAAGCTTGATAACCAGAGTTAGATCCCTTGATCCCCCTATATTGTAAAAGGAAATACCAAACTCTCAAAAATTGTTCTGACTGTGCCATATGCATGCTGTGACATGTGTACCAACATAACACTCCCCTAACAAAAATAAATAAAACTAAAAAGGGAAATAAATAAATAAATATAACAAGGAAACAGGGAAAGAGATATATTAAATGGGTCCTGGCTGAACCAGATCCTGCATATCCTTTATGAGGATCTAATTGAGTGAGCCCATCTGACTTTACCCCCATTTACCCTTCTCAAAGTCCTACATTGAGCACAAGTGCCATACCCAGTGCCCTGGCACCTCTTTGTGTGGCCCCCAACCTCCAGACTCTAGCCAAGACATACTTATCCACTGCCAACCCACAGGCCAAAAGAGGACAAAAATGAGGAGACTCAGAAATGAAGAGAGAAACATTACTACAGACACCAAGAAAGTAAAGATATTATAAAGAAATAGGTTAGAGACCTAACTCAACCAGATTAGAAAATGTAAAAGAAATGAAAAATTTCTATATACAAGTATCATTTTATGATCTGAGGTTGTATTTACACACACACAGACACACACACAATATACGCACAACATGATTTTGATATTCTATCAAAAAGCTGTACTACTGACTCTAAGAGTAGAACATTAGTAGACACACTGTCATGGAGATAAAGACATGAGGAACATTACATATGAAAAACAAGATAATGTGTTCATCTGTTTCAGTCTTACTTTTTATATAAGCCTTTCCACAAAACAAAGATGAACTCTTGTACAACAGAGAAAGTTGTACAGAAACTTTTATAAAATATTCGCCAAATTTTAACCATTTCTCAGCCACCAATCCTTGAGATATAAATATGGTCACTTAACAGTATTATAATACATGCTCTTGAATAATCTTCTATAGAGAAGAACAATGTTTTTTCTTACCTCAAATGCATTCACAACTGTCAGGTGATCACTTCTAGTCTCCTTTGCCAGCTCCTTTCTTCTTGCATCGGCAATCTTTTCTTTTCCCTAAAAATTAACAGGTGTAGCTTAAATTTGTCTGACATAATAATTATGGATATTTTATTGAAATATGATGAAAAATACATGTGAGCAGTAAATAGTTTTAGCATTAAAAATGCCCAGTCTTTTTTCCGTCTCTCTTACCAATGGAATGACGAAGGGGTCTTTAAAGCTGAGACTAGCAGCAATAGTGAGGACTGGATCTAAGCAACAGAATAAAGCTCCAAAAAGAATCATTTTTCCAATATGTGGCTCAACAGGTAATCGGGCTAAATGGACGCCAAGAGGTGTTAACTCTTCTTGCTTATCCAAAGCGCTCTGAAAGAAAAAAATTTTCTTACAGCAGGTATAGCAAAGCACAACATTAAAAGCTACTGTAGTTAGCTGTGAAATACACATTCTCTTAAGCCCCCAAATGCCCAGGCACTGTTTTAGGTGCCTTCAACAGGAAGAAAAGAAAATTCTGACGTCAGCAAAGGCTAGTGACTTATTCAAATAAACCTAATCAATCTACAACATGGAAATGTAATGTCAGAAATAAAGAAAATCACCTGTGGTCAAGCAGTTATGAAAAGAGAAGTGGGTGAAAAGCAAAGTCCCTAGAGTCTAGTTTAGGTGCCACGATGCAAAAAGAGGTAAGGGGCACACGTAGAAATGAGTTCAGTTTCGATTCCCTGGGTAAACTGGTTCAAATGAGGGCAGCTAGAAAAGTATCCTGAAGACACCAAGGAAATATAAGGACATGGCTGGATAATTTACAGTGTTATTTTAAGCAGTTTGTTATTTTAAAAGCCTATCTTGGTGCTATAAAATCCAAATTCTTTAAAATTATCAACATGGATAGCTTCCAAACCTTTGACATGTCATTGACACCCTCCAACCCAACACTAACTAACATGACTTTGTAGATAAACAAAAACATTCTCTACACGGTACAGTACAGTACAGAGAGGTACTATAAAACATATGTATATGCTGAGGTAATGAACTTCTAATTGACTCATAACCGAAATCACCACACACAGCTGCGAACAATACTACGTAGTCAGCACTTTTCTCATCTCTTGTGCTTCTCTTACTACTCTGGGCCAGTCCTGTGCCTTTCAACATGGTCCTATGGAGGAATGACTGTCAATTACAGTCACTTAAAGAGTTTCTCAGAACATAAGAATGAAAAAACAAAACCAAAAACATCTTGTTCTGTGGATATAAGCTATAATAGTGAACGATGGTTCCAAGTATTATTACGGCATCATAGAGATAAAACATTTATATATATTTCAAAATATGTATCAAATTTGTTTTTATCAAATGTCTATTCTACCATAAAAACACTTAAATATGACAAGAAAATATCATGGTAACCAGAAAGAGTAAACTAAGTCAACACAGTTCAAGGATACATATGAAGACCACTAAAGAAAAATGTCAAGATTTCATGTAACTTGAAATCAGTCTTGTACATGAACAAAACACACGAAGTCTTAAATCGTAAAAACATAAGAGTGCTGTATCAAGTCTGACAGTGCTGGACTCCGGAGTGATAAGCTTTTAAGAAGCTGGTATACACTGTAACATCTAAATCCAAACTATACTTTTAAAAAAGAATCAAATTTACCAGTTCCATTAGGTGTTTTATGGAGAGCAATACTGCTTCATTTGATGGTGGATCCATTAACCTACTCAGAAAATACGCAATTCCACCTAGCCTTAAAATCTGTGGAGACAAATAGTTAAATATGGATCAAAGACATAAAACATGCACTTTCCAAGAGCAAATTAACTAGTGAGAAAAGTTATATAAAAAAATCCCAACAAGTTGGTTACTGATTAATTTAGAAACAGGGTTAGCTATAGAGTATTTGAAGATATAACAGCTAAACAGACCTGGTGGCACAGGACTATAATACCAGTTACTCAGGAGGCTAAGGCAGGATGATCAACAACTTAAGGTCACATTGAGCCAATTATTGAGACCATCTCAAAATCAAAAAAATAAAAATAAATAAATAAATAAACCCAGCCCAGTGTGTGTGTGTGTGCGCGCGAGAGAGAGAATGCAGTTAATTCAGTGGTAGAGATCTTGCCTAGCATAAGCCATGGGTTCAATCCTCTGAACCACAAAAATTAAGTAACAGTAGATAACAATCACTGAGTATATGTCTAACACTGTCTTAAGAATTTTACACAGGAACTTTATATTAACTTAAAATATCTGCTCACTAAAGCAGAACAAAGTTTCCAGGTAGGACGTAAGAATCAAAGACAGATACCCTGATCCTAACATTATCAACTGTTAGCTATATATTGGAAGGATGTTTAAGTAGCTGCCTCACACAAACAAAATGAAGTAGGGTCATACTACACTTTCTTCTACTAAAAATGTTGAAAACAACAGCATCACCCTCCATTTAGTTTGTTTTTCTCCCAACAAATATACCTTTATTTGCAAACAAAGTTCTTCCAAAGGAGTTCTCAAAATCTCTGGTAGCTGGTAGTCATCTAGAAGACTTGCTCTAAGACCATTATACAGATGATAACAATGACCGGGCTGAACCCTTAAAAAGAAAAAAGCAATAGTAAGAACATGACTTTTAGAATGCCACAAAAAGAACAGCCAGGGAAACCACTATCTTAGCCTGCATTTATTAATTAAAGAATATATTTAAATGTAATCTATATAGTGAGCTCTCAGATGTTGGAAACTCTTTTATGTTTGCAACTTAGTGCCATAAGTGATGACAGAATTTATATACTTCTGAGCAGATTAGTATTTTGGAAGGCTCTAGCTGCTATAGAATACAAGTTCTAAAACTTTCAGTTTTTTGTTGTTTTTCTTGTTGTTTGGCCTACATCTACAAAGACTCAATATCTATTATCTAACATTTCTCTGATGTTATAGACCTAATATTATCTATCACCTCATAGAAAGTAACCATATTTCCAGAAGGGATCACATGGTATAGTAGTTTTTGTTTGTTTGTTTTCTGGTCACCAAAGAAACTATCAATCTATAGGCTTTATGAAGCATCAACTTTACAATACAAGAAACCATCTGGAAATCAGGTTAAATAGGGACAATCTGTAAAGGTTATAGCAAGCAATACAGAGCTTTATAGACTAAGCACACATACATAACAAAGGTATATATATGTCAATAATGTTTTCTTTAACTTTCCTTTTCTAACATGAGCCCACATGTAAGACAGTGACTATTTTTACCTTTAAGTGACAAAGGAAAACCTTTTGTGACATCAGCTATGACTGTCACTAACATGACTGAAAGTACAAATCAAAATCAGTCAGCACAACTACATGTAAAGGTCAATATAAATACTGTTCTCATCACTAAACAAATGCTTTTATTTCTATGACTACACCAAAGGAGAAAAAGTGCTTCCCTTGTGTTTTACTGGGGATTAACAGTCAGAATCAGTACTGCTTACAAGGACACTGACTAGAAGCCCAGACTGTGGAGCTGGGCAGCTTGCATTCAGGCTCTGTCTCTGCTGTGTACAAAGCACTGGAACTCTGAAGAAGTCATTTAATTTCTCTATACCTCAATTTCCTTATTCTTAAAACACATAGTTGATAGCTATGAGGTAAGAATCAAACACATAAAGCATTTAGGAGAGGAGCTGGGACTCAATTATTATTAGGTAATGCATACTTTAAGAACAGACACGGAAACAAGACTGTAAGTAACTAAAACAGGCCATTAATTTTAACTAACTAGACTAGGTTGTCAAAGAAAACATTCACAAAATAAGAAACTTGGCAGATATTTCCCAAAAAGGTATGAATAAAACTATTTTCTTATTTAAAAAATGTGTTGTAACAGGTAGGCGTGGGAAAACGCAAATACAAACTACACTGAGATCCCATCTCACTTCTTCACTTGGTATTAATGGTTAACACCAAGAAAACAGACGTTAGTGGAGATGCGGGGAAAAGGAGCACTTAGGACCTTCTGGGGGTACCAAGCAAATTAATATGAAGGGTTTTCAAAAAACTAGAGAACTGCTGGGCGGTGGTGGCGCACGCCTTTAATCCCAGCACTCGGGAGGCAGAGGCAGGCGGATCTCTGTGAGTTTGAGGCCAGCTAGTTCCAGGACAGGAACCAAAAGAAGCTACGGAGAAACCCTGTCTCGAAAAATCAAAAAAAAAAAAAAAAAAAACAAAAAACAAAAAACTAGAGAACTAACACATGACACAACCGTGCTGCTCCAACAGCCTATTGAGGGCTGCTTTAGTCACAATAGCCAAGATACACGTCAGACTAACTACCCATCAACAGACAAGCTGATAAGGAAAATGTGTTGTAAAGATGAAATTATGATACCTGGAGGAATATGTTAAAATTATGATACCTGGAGGAATATGTTAAGCCGCCACTCAGAAAGGCAAGTACCAAACATTCTCCCCTCTGCAGAACCTAAATGTAAACTTATATACACATGAACTAGACAGATGATGGTTAGATAGACTGGTAGATGGTCATAGGAAAATATAAAAGGAGTGGAAAGGAAGAAGTCTAAACACAGGAAATAGAGGGTACAGAGAAGAGGGGGTATGTTACATGGAAGAGGAACTGTGTGAGTAAAGGAAAAGGGTAAGGGGAAAGTGTAATCATACAAATGTAAAAGAGATTTTACAACCTTACTATTTTATATGCCAATTAAAAATCAAATACTGACAGCCCAAAAAGCGTTATGAGTTCAATATAGTACACAAGGTAACTCTCCTACTAACACTTCTACATCACAGCAATAAAATGTGCTCAGATTTTTTCCCATCTTCTCAAGGGCCTGGACAGCATTTATTTCCCTCTTACCTTCCTGCTCTTCCTTTCCTCTGTTTGGCATTAGCTTTACTAACCCACTCAGCAGACATGGTACTGATGTTGTTCTGTGTGTCAAAGTGTGTCTCTTTAATTTTTCCTCCATCTATTACATAAACCACATCATCTATGGTGATGCTATTTGGAAAATAGATACATAAAATATTATAAGTACATCAAGCAGACCATTAACTTATACCAAGCCTATAGATTTTAAAAATATTTTTTTAATTTTTACTTAAAATACATTTTTACTGAGTCGAGGTTTTAGTAGTTCGAATCTCACTACTCTTCTCCCGTGTTTCAGTTTTACAGTAGCCAAGCCCACAGCAGGCGGCATCATCCCACAGTTGCAGTACTTATGCAGCCATTACATCCTTATCATCCCACAGCCATCTCCTTAGCATTTCCACGACCTTATGACAGCTCTGAGAGCCGAAAGGACTAGGGTCTAACAGCAGCTTCTAGAAAATAGTCTGTTTCCGCAACTGAGCTTTAAATGTCTCATTAAAACATTAGAAATGTCTAAGGCTGCATGTAATTAATTATAAAATAATACTATCCCTAATTGGAGAACAGGAAAAAAAAGGACAAAACCTACATCAGCTCCCATGTTTCTTTAGAGAAGTTTTGAAAAACAACTTTTTAAAGGTCTTCTTCAAAAAGAAAACTAAAAACAGTATAACAGCTTTAAAAAGAAAACTAAAGTTTACATTTGATTTTTTAAAAGGATTAAAGTATCTTATAGAGAACAAAGGTTTAAGTATGCTAATAATGTAGGGGCTCAAAACTTATATAACCAATAGCTGATATTTAAAATAGTTTTTACCTAGTCTCTGCAATGTTGGTAGCAATTACTATTTTCCGAACGCCAGGGGGAGTTTTTTTAAATACCTGTAAGAAAAAAACACATACTAATTTCTGACATACTTTTACAATGTTACTTCTTGAGATATTTTAGCACTTCTCTTTATTAAATGCTATATGTTTTGTTTATAAATCTATCATTAACACACTCATTTTCAACATGAGGAAATCCTCCTTTGGTAAGTTGGCTACCACAGATGCTACGGCAAACAGAGGCAAACAGAGGCGCTCCACTTTTACCACATCCTTAACCAAAGCTGGTGAGCAAAGTAAGAAAAAACAGCTCTTTAATCAAGGACAAGAAACATCAGAGAAGCAAGATCTATGAAGTCTCAACACAACTGCCTAAGCAAGGCCTGATCAAGGACAACATCGACAAACATACTAACATTGAAAGGGGAAAGCCTTGAGGCCTCGACCCTTGAAAGAGAACTACAGACACCTAAGGAATGCTGCGAGTAGGAGAGACAGACTTTCTCAGGGAAGAGCACACCAGCTAATTAACCAATACCAAGTGGGCTGCCCGAAAAATCCCATACACATAATCAATATTATACAGACTGAGCAGGTCACATTTATATATTTAAGAATGTGTTTACACACACACACCAACAACAACAACACAGAAATAGAGGTCATGAATTTGAAAGAGCAGTGTTGTGTGTGATGCACAGGAAAAAGCGTGGGAAAACAATGTAAGTAATGCTTATGTTTGAAAACATAAATAAAACTCGGTAAGTAACTGTACAGTTAGCCTCAATCCGAGACAAGAAACAAATTGAAGAACATACCTGTGTCTGGTTTACTGTAGGCATCAATGAATGTAAAGGTATAATAAGAAATTTATCTGAAAATTAAAAAGTAAATTAAAGCTCCATTAAGCATATATGGCACATGTATGAAACAGTAAATTTATCTGTTGAATCACACAGTTCTTATAAATTTATATTTCTACATATAGTCAAACTGAGCTTTTCTGCAATGGGTTTCTGAGGGCTCCAATGAGTTCCAATTAACATATCTACATTTTCATTTGTTAATCTATTTACTATTCTTTTCAAGATCAGAACAAGCTTCTTTGCTGTTATCGTGAACCTGAGTGCGTGTCTGTATGTAAGCCTGTGAAGGCCAGAAGACAAACTGAAGTTACAGGCAGTTCTTGAGGTGGAGTGGTGGGAACTCAACTCAGACCCTCTGGAAAAACAGCAAGCATTCTTAACCACTGAGCCATAACTCCAGCCCCTGCCCAAATTCTTAGAATTTCTTTAAGTGGTGGGAGGCAGCTTTCTAAATCACACCCATGAAAGGCCACTAATTGTATCCTATTAATAAAACCTCCAATGAGAGGGGAAAATTTGAAGTTCATAAATACCAATATTTTAATTTTAAAGCTCAATCTTATTAAGGAAGTTCAAAGAAAGGGTAAAATAATACTCTCATAAAACTAAAAAGCTTCAAAATGTGTATCCCATCTTCACTTATGACTCAGAACTTCTAGAAAACATTCAGTTTCTTAAATGAAAAAATCCATCAGGCCTTAGACCCTCAAAATCCTTTACTAATGTAAAGTAACATACATAAAGTAACAACTTTATGTATGTAAACAAGTCACAACTTCTTCACATACTACATGAATTCAAGTAGCAGTGTTCGAATTATAGTATAATACACTTATATAATACCTGATTTAAACATCACTTGTGACATCAAGAGATCATGTAAAGTGCTGATATTGTCCCAGCCTGGTAGAAAGACCAGTATCGCACCATCCTATATAGACAGGAAATCACTATTAGAGGAACTCATCAATAATCACAATAACAATTCTATGCACACTTAAATCCTCACTAAAATTATAGCAGCTCTGAATTTTAGCTATTTAAATGAATACAGATCCCCTTAAGAACTCAGATTTACAATCCAGAGATAATTTGTTTAGTCTTTTCTTTAAATAGGTTAAATGCCTAAAATATGTTATTTTGAGATTTCCTTCCAGTCCACTTTGTAAAAGCACTTAGGAAAGTGAGGTTTTCATGACTTTGATATGTTAATAAAATTAAAATCCGCATTACTTGAAGAAAAACTAAACAAAACTAACCTCTTCTTCCAAAACAATGTATCGAATAAGGGCAGCAATCAAATTCAGATCAACTTTATCATCATCCATCCTTTCCAAAACATCTACGGTACTTGCAGAGTATCTACCAAGATCACACAGAAAGTCATAACATGCTTGGCAAGTTTTCTGTAGCTTAATCAGCTATAAAACCTTAATGTTAACTCAGTCTGCATATGAAAACCAATCTACAGATAAGAGAAAATTAAAATTACTGGGATAATAACAGGTAAGCCAAATTGGCAGTGTGTAGCTGGAATGCAATTCTCCCCTTCAAGCACATTGCTGTTTCAGTTGTTCAGTCACTGTGTTCTACCCTCAAGTACATGCTCACCTTGTTCGCAGCTCCTTTATGTACGCTGGCCAGCGTTCTTTATAGATTGCTTCTTTTTCCTCCTTTTCTTGTCTATTTACATGGCCCTGCATGAAACCCCTCTTGAACTGGGATCTATGTTCTTTTTGTTCTGGAACATATCTAAAATAAAAGAGTAGTATGTATCTTCCTACATTTAAAACATTATGGCTTAAAGTATACCTGCTTTTACATTGGAGATTTCAAACCAGATTCTAAAGAACATTGTCGCTATATTTTCCAGCAAATGTTACCCAAAATATTAATTTAAGTATTAATACATAAAACTTCACATTTAAGATAAAAAGTATTCCCTATTAAAGCATGTAAGTTCTATAAGCCAGCTCAACAATCTAAATGAAAAATGATTTCTGAGCTACCTTTTATCTTTAGTTTTAAGTTTGCTCCAAAATACAATTTTTAAATAGAAAGTCCAAAGTAAGACCTAATGACAGCTTCAGAGAATAATTTGGACTCTGAAAGTTTTTTCAAACGAAACTGTGCATAAGATCCCTTGTAAAACATATAAAATAAGATTTCTAAATGCATGACTTGAACCCAAGGATTTCAATTAGATACTCCAGGAGTATCAGACACACGCTAGCACTGCAGTTCTGCTGTCACATGACAGCGAAGGGGAGACGCAGCCGTAGTTTTCAAAACAAAAGAGGTACATGTGTCCAAGAATTATTCACTTGCATTGTGAGCTCTGAGAAAGAGGGTGGGAAGAGACAAAGGAAAACTAAAGCTACTTTAACCCCAAAGGCTCTCAGAATTTAAAGGATAGCATCTAGATTGAAATGGGGTGAATGGAGTCTAAATTCAGTATCAAAAGAACATCTGTCTCAGACAGAGTAAATGACATTTAAGTCACAAAATCAGGGAGATGAAAATCCCAAAATGGAACTCATGAAAGAGGTGGCGACACTATAGCCTATGATCCTAGAGATGCTAAGTAACAAGGTGAACCCTAAGGAAAAGATATATAGATCCACCTAGAAAGGGGAAATAAACAAGATCGCCTGACAAAATTGGAAGCATGGGGTGTGGGGGAAAGGGAAGGGGAAAGGGGAAAAGGAGGAGAGAGGAGAACTTGAGGGAACAGGATAGTCAAGATAGGGAAAGGACAGAGATGGAGAGCAAGGAAAAAGATATTTTGATTGAGGGAGCCATTATGGGGCTAGCAAGAAACCTGGCTCTAGAGAAATTTCCAGGAATCCACAAGGATGACCCTAGCTAAGACCCTAAACAATAGTTGAGAGGGTGCCCAAAATGGCCTTGCCCTGTAGTCAGATTGATGACTATCTTAAACATCACCATAGAACCTTCATCTAGCAACTGATGGAGACGAGCAGAGACCTGTAGCGAAGCACTGGGCTGAGCTCCCAAAGTCCAGCTGAAGAGTGGGGAAGTGAAAATATGAGCATATGAGCAAAGAGGTCAAGACCATGATGGGTATACCCACTGAAACAGCTGACCTGAGATAATGGGAGCTTATCAACTCCGACCAGACAGGGAGGAACCAGTATAAGACCAAGCTAGACCCTCTGAATGTGGATGACAGTTGTATGGCTAGGGCAGATGGCAGGGCTACTGGCAGTGGTACCAGAATTTGTCCCTGCTGCTAGTACTGGTTTTTGGACCCCATCCTCTTTAGATGGATACAGGCTGGATATAGTGGGGAGGGCCTTGGTCCTTCCTCAGAGCAATGTGCCTTACTCTGAGGAGTGGACAGGGAGCGGGGAGGTGAAGGGGATGGAAGTAGGGGAGGGAGTGGGAACTGGGTATGGGATTGGTATGTAAAATGAAAAGATAAGATAATTTGTTTTCTTTTTTTTAAAAAAAATAAAAGTGAGGAAAAAAAAGAATAAATCTGAGACAAGCAGAGTGATATATTAGTACTTTTTAACTGATTTTACTGCCTAACATTTACCTTATTTTTTCAATGATATCTTCCAAAAGATATTCCACAACTGGAAAAGTAAAACCAGGTATATGTATCATCGGACAGTTACCTACAAGGGCAGACAAAAACATAACCATGACTTTGTATTCAATGTTCAAAATTAAAAATCAACACACTACAACTAAGACAGCACAATATTCTTAACCAAAGAAACAGTACTGTGCTACATCTTCTAGTTTCCCACCTGACTTTTAAAAGTCTAGTTTTTGAGTTATTTTACTTCTACAAACTGGATAAAGCGCTCATAGTTGTAAGAACTGAATATTAGAGCCATTTTAGATTGAACTCAAAATATATTAAAAATCTATTATTCAAGATCGCAAAATGATGAGTCTTAGTTAAACTGACAAACAAGATAAAAAGCATTGTTCTCTGTGGCAGCCAGAATGGGTGTTGATAGAAAGTTAAAGCAGGAACTAATCAAATGTTGAAATGTTGGGGCTGGAGAGATGGCTCAGTGGTAAAGAGCATCGCCTGCTCTTCCAAAGGTCCTGAGTTCAATTCCCAGCAACCACATGGTGGCTCACAACTATCTGTAATGAGGTCTGGTGCCCTCTTCTGGCCTGCAGACATACACACAGACAGAATATTGTATACATAATAAATAAATATTAAAAAATAAAAAAAAATGTTGAAATGTTTCCATCTTAAGGTCACTAACAGATTATCTCTGCCATTAAAATCCTATTTGTCTCTCATAACAAGCAACTCAAGTACACAATAAATAAACACCGAGAAGCATGAGAGGTCAGAAGGCCTGAGGTACTGTCCCTGCTCTGTATCTCACCTGCACAAAACTGAGTTATTCCTATCAAGTCCTTATTAACAACCACAAAGACATGACCTTCCCCAGCTAGAGCATAATGTTCTCAAGAGTGAGCTGGGATATGTTCTATAGGCATTCTTAAAGACTGAAAACAACTGTGTTGATACTACCATTTCAATTTCTTGTCCTTCCCCCAAGTATTTCTGTTACCCTTATGAGAAAGACAGACACAGAGGAATAATTCTACACAATGTACTTTCCCAAGCAGTCAGATCTAGCTTCTGAGTCTCTGTTAACTAGGAAATGACAATCCCCGTTAATTACGCAACCTGGGATAAGTCACTTAACAGTTGAGGCTGCATTGTCGTTTGCAGAACTGAAGCTATACTAGTACCTACCGTAAGATTTCCCAAAAAACAGTGACAACGTAGCTCACTACTATGTGGCACACTGAAATCGCTCTCTAAGTGAGCACTGACACTAGCAAACTGTCAGCCAAGCCCGTGACAGAACATAAATGCTATAGAAGATCTGCATGCACACAAAGAGAGAGAACATAAAAATGTCATTCCTGTGGTTTGATTTCAGTGATGCCACATCACTGGTGGCAGCACCAAGAAACTAGCTATCTTCAGAGTGGGAGAGAAGGGATGCTACCACTTAAAACAGCAGGCTTGGGTCTTTTATCTAGGAAACTAGAACACAGTTAAAATACAATAAATTAGTAGACACTCAATTTTATTACATTTAGTACTGTATATATTTCGTTGCTGTTGTTTTGAAGTTTATTTACTGGTTTTGTGATACCTTTTCTAGTATAATTATCAAATTTTACTCACCAAAATATTCTGAAAATTTCTCAGCATTCAGTGTTGCACTCATCAATATTACTTTCAGGTCGGATCGAAAATTGAGAAGATCTTTAATGACAGTCATTAGAACATCTGACTGTAGATTCCGTTCATGAATTTCATCAAGTACAATATGGCTAACACTGGACAAATGCCTAGAAGACAAATGTTAAATTTGTAACTCAGTATAAAACTGAAAACCATTTTTAACAACACAGTCCTGTTTAATAATTACGTCTCTGGACATCTGTGAAGTGTTGGTGTTTATATAACTTTGGGGAGGGGTGCCTGTCTCATGTAGCCGAGGCTGGACTTGAATTTCTGAGTTGTCTCTCAAGCCCAGGGTCAAAAGCATAAGCTATCATACTCAGCGCTATGCTGTGTGTTTATTTCTTTACCGAAACATACTCACGGGTCTGACTGGAGCCACTGAAGAATGATTCCTGTTGTGCAGTATAAGATAGAACCTTGTTTCCTTGGCAACCGACTGTAAATGAAGATACACATTATTAATTCTTGGTTTTCTTTGAGGAAGTACTGACTTCCACAAAAGTTTGAGAAATCTTTATACTTAGCTTTTAATTATAATAGCATGAACCACAATGAAGTAATGAGAAATACTATCCTTAAGTTTACTTTGACACTAAAATTACTTGTTTTACAGGTGCAACCTTTAACAATTAAAGATTGAATGAATTTATGGATCCCCTAAGATTCTAGTTTGGTTAAATAGAAATCTGTTCACTTGAACAGATCAACCTGAGCTCTAGAAAAGGAGCTCAAACTTAGCAGAAATAGACAATGAAGTTAATGACACAAATATCATTAAATGAATCTATCAAGTAGACAAGTGGGATCAACAGGTACAAGACACCCATTTAACAGGAATAATCATCTGCTACTAAAACTCATTTCAGTCATTCTATAATGGGAAAGCACATTTTTGCTTTTGTAATTTTTGGTATTTTTGGTTTTCAAGACAAGCTTTCTCTGTAGCTTTGGAGCCTGTCCTGGAACTAGCCCTTGTAGACCAGGCTAGCCTCGAACTCACAGAGTTCTGCTTCCTGAATGCTAGGATTAAAGGAACGCACATACATATACACATGTACACACACACACACAAATAAACATAATTTAAAGTATGTAAAATATATGTTAATTCTAAAAACAAGAATCAACATAAGGGGGAAAAAATCTCCTGATCCAATGTTTCACAAAAATCTACCTGCATACAAAAAGTGAACCAAAGTGAACACTGTTTTTACCTTTGGAGACGAATCTGGTATCCAGTACTATTACCATTGCCGCAAGACTCTGCCCTTTCTGCAGCTACTCGCTCAGCAACCTTTAATTTGAAACAGTTGTAAATAAAATACAAATTCCTTTAGACAAACGCACTTAACTGTCATAACAATCTGAAGTTTTAAAAAGTAGTTGATTTTCAAATGAGGTAAGAAACTAGACACTCACTGATGTCTGAGTTACCTAAAACTATGTGGTGTTTTCTTTGAGGATGGAACAATACCAGCTTCTTTAGTTTCTCATTTATCCTAATAAAGACCTTCAAGACTAAATTCTTTCTTATTTCATCATTATTTCCACAACATCTTTCCATGAGACTCTCTGACTAATTACTCTTTTTAACTTTTCTGTAGTAGAGACCATAGTCCAAAATTGAAAACTGCAATTTGAAATTAAGTACATATTGATAATTTCTCATCTATTCTTCTACTTATGTGTAGTAGAGACTGGTGTCTAACTCCTTGGCTGCCTGTTTTCGAACGCAAATACAAATATCAAATCAAAATGGAAAATGAAATTTAATTATAATCATTGGTCACTCCTTGCAATGGTAGGCTAACAGATTATCTGTTCTAAACCACTACAGCAAAAGGAGACTTCTGAAACAGTATCTTATTTTTACCCTCATATGCTTCCTCTGAGGAGCTTCATTCAAAACTCAGGGTCTATAGAAATACAGTTTCAAATACTAACCAAGGCTTCAAAGGTCACTATTATTCCTGTACTCAAACACTAAAGGACAGATCACTGAAAGAACACTCAGTAAGCCTAGTAGCAGAAGTTACAGAAGCCCACAAAAAAGACTACAGCTTCTCGTCAATTCTATAAACATTTTATTGGCTTTTCAGTTTTTAGATTTGTACTGGAACTAATTAATCTTGAATGCGCAAGCATCTACTGTTGATGGAGGAGACATTATCCACTTTTCAGGTATTATCAGATATTTGCCAACTAAGCATTTGCTCTCATAGGGACAATTCTTAAGTATAATAAAGAATCACTGCAAATCTTAAAAAGCAGTTAGGTTCAATCAAAATTCCTTGGAGAGGAGAGAAAGAATTTTCACAAGTGAGTAACAGTTTACTTACTGAAATGGCACTAATTCTTCTCGGCTGAGTACACACTATTCTGCAGGCAGACCCTTTTCCTCTTTCAATGTAGTCATCCAAGATGAACTGGGTAACCTGAGTGGTTTTGCCACAGCCGGTTTCACCACTTATTACTGTTACCTGATGGCTATTGATTAAATTTACCAGTTCCTAGTTCAAAAGAGAAAATAAGTGAAGAACAGCACTTACTAACTTAAATCTGAAAAAATATTTCAAGTTCTTTCCAACTAAAGGTAAAGACTAATTATATAGTAAATTACACATATAAATCTTAGAGGAAATGATATCTTAAAACTTTTGGATACACACTAATAATGTTCATACTAACAATTCACTATATTAACAAAACAATCACCCTGCTGCTTCAAGAATGTTATGTATTTTTGCCCCTCGCCTTTAACCCAGCCCTCAGGCGGATCTCTGTGGAGTTCAAGGCCAGCCTGGTCTACAAGAGCTAGTTCTAGGACAGGCTCCAAAGCTACAGAGAAACCAAAAAAAAAAAAAGTTATGTATTTTAATATAAAACTTACATTTACATTTAAATTTTTCTTATCTATTCTAACAATGTGTAACATTTCAAGTTTAAACACTAAAACAGCTGGTAAACATTTGATCCTCAAAATCCATCCATGGCTTCTATACATGGAGAACTAAAGTGCAGATGAAAAGTTTTGAACAAACAATTACACCTACACTGAACTTGCCATAACTCCCTAAACAATACAGTACTTAACTATACAGCACTTCCATACGTTACTAGAGGTGCTGTGGTAACCTAGAGATGACTCAAACTATGAGGAGGAACATGTACAGCTTCTACGAAAATAGAACACCATTAATAAGAATGTGAACATCTCAGGCTTGTGGTACCCAAATACCCCAAACACTGACGTGGAATGTAACTCACTCATTCAACAGATAGCTTCTGGTTGCCAATGTATCGGCAAGTGTTGTTCCAAGTTAAGATACAGAACAAACGAAACAGACCCTGACCTCAGGAGCTTACATTAGACTAGGAAGGGAACACACAGATGTCAGGTGTAATAAGTGCTATGAAAAGCAAAGAAAAAGAAAAAATAAGTAAGATTGGGAAGACAGAGCCAGATAAAGGACTATGTTATTCTATATAGGGAGTGTGTGATGAATGGGACTCATCTATTAATAACACTATTCTCAGTAGTTCCTTATTTTTAATTCAAGAGCGTGGTCTTGAGTTAAGAGCAACATAATCTTTCAGAGACACATATGGAAATTCTACTTTTAGAATTTAAGTCTTTGGACAAAAATAACAGAAAACTGCTTCATATATTTTTAAGAACGCTAAAGCATTCAGTTAACATCCCTATGAGAAGGTTCACTAACTTTTGTTTCTTCACAATGTGGACCTTCTTTTAAAAAATATGTTAAACTTTTGGGAAAATCAAACAGCACAAAGCATTTTTACCTTTTGCATTCCATATGAAGGCAGCTTTTTTCTGAAATGCTGAAATTTAAACAAAAACCATTCTCAGAATAAACATCATCAAATTATAATTAGATCATAGATAAATGTGTTAGACAAAGAATTTTCCACTATGTCATAGTGCACAAACAGAATTAACTACAAGACGCTTACTAGAAGTGTGTTCTTCTAGGTTAGAGAATGCCAAGTGACCCATCACCTGGTAATACAATAACAACCTCTAAATTTTTCTATCACTTTATTCTATTTTTTGTTGAAATAAGAGTGGCGGGGCTGCATCCCCAGCACCCCAGCTGCCCACATGGCTTATGCCCCGAAATAATTACACGGAAACTGTATTCTTTTAAACACCGCTTGGCCCATTTCTATCTAGCCTCTTCTAGGCTAGCTCTCGCACCTGGACTAGCCCATTTCTAATAATCTATGTAGCCCAAGAGCTGGCTTACCAGGAATGATCTTAGCCTGCGTCTGCCTGGACTGGGAGAATCATGGCGACTCCCTGATTCAGTTTCTTTCTCCCAGCCTTCCGTTCTGTTTACTCCACCCACCTAAGGGTGGGCCTATCAAATGGGCCTAGCAGTTTCTTTATTGCTTAACCAATGAAATCAACAGATTGATATATGACACTCCCCCATCACTTCCCCTTTTTCTGTTTAAACAAAAAAGAAAGGCTTTAACTTTAACATAGTAAAATTACATATAGCAAAACAGTTATCAAGCAAGAATTACAGTTACAATATTTGTATCTATTTTATCTTTTATCATAACTAAGGAAAACTATAACTATCTATTCATTCTTCAACTCTATCAAAGACTCCAGAAGGATATAATACTACCTAAGTAAACAAGAAATAAGAAAACTCTAGAAATGACAGAAACATCTCGCTGCCTGGACAGTCACCCAAAGTTCTTTTGCACCTTATACAAAGCAAAGAGGGACAGTAATTAATTCTTTGTTCATAATGTAAAAGTTCTCTCGGCCAAATGATTCTGAAATAATTCACCTCACAAGTCTCACCAATGTCCAAATCAAATTGCTCCAAATAATGGGCATCAAACAGCTACACAATTTAGACCGTGGCCAAGCTCAGCTTATCTTATTCTAATAGGAAACTCAACCTCTGTCAATGCAGCCAATGGGTTAATACTTTCTCAGACTGGATAGTGTGCCTTCTCAAAAATAGCAATACGTACTTATAAGATGTGGATCCCAAAATAACCTTCATATTCCTCTAAATACGCATGTGTGCACATTTGAATATTTTATCACATATACATCTAGAACACCCACAAATCATACAATTTTACGTTTGGATTGAAGGGGACTTTAAACAGCTTGTCGACACAATAATCTGTACAACTTCAGCCCTTGTTGCAGCAGCACACTTAAATGCTGGCAAACATAAGATGGATCATCTAGCTTTGGAAATCTTAAAATCTATCATCTGTAAAAGGAGAAGTTCTGAGCTGGAAGAAACTTCATAATTCTGACAATCTGGCTGGACTCACAATTTCTTACTAGATTTGCCTAGAAAACTGTTTTCCCAAAGGCATTAGCAATCTCAAGCAAGTCTTCTCAACACATATGCATCTGTGTAAATACGATACAGCATAGGCTGTATGGAATTTTCAGCCAGCTTTTCCCTGCCACCCAAGAAAGTCCGCTCACAGAGGGAGGTGTCTTATTGAGGAATCGCACTCAACCATACCAGGCACTAGCCTTCGACCATAAGCCCACTTCTCCCAAGGTAGGGAGAAGAATGACTGACTTCTCACCGCTTGCTTCCCATTACCTGCATCTCTATATACCGAGGGTCAGATTTTTTCTTTTGTAAATCTTCTAATAATTGCTGGTCTAAGCCTCCATTTGGTTCATTTTCTTGCAGTAAGTACTCAGAATCTCGGTCAATGTATGATTTGTCTGTGATCCTAAAAGTCTTTTTTTCTTGGTTCAGCGATTTCTTTTCCTGGTTGTCTAATTTCTTCTCTGAGTTATTTTTTTTCTCCGAAGACACTTCAGTACCATACCTATAACCACAGAATCAAGAGCAGAAGGACCAGATGAAGAGCTACTCAGGGACTGGAAGAAAACAAAGCACTATATTCTCCAAATACTTCAAAATCTCCAACACTGAAAGCAATACAATGCAGTTAAGAACTACGCTTAGATTCTTACAGCACATTCAGACTGTCCCCTATTTTTCCATGGATTATCACAGATAATTAATTCCCTGTGGTACTTGAGAAATTAAAATCCACAGAGCAGCCATTCATCCTTTGTGGCTCTTTCTACTGTTTCGCTTCTCTTGATTTTTCAAGGATTTGGTTTATTTGACAACTTCTTTTTCTGCTGCTGCTCTTCCTGAGATCTAAATGGGAAGCTACATTTCATAGTCCCCAAGCACTTCTAATTTTTCCAACAAACAACATGGCTTTTGCAGCCTTCTGAAACAGCAGCAATTTAACTTTATGTAGACCTGCCCCACAGAAGACTTCTGGAAAGAGAAGATGATAGGCAGGTAACACAAGTAATAGTCAATATCTCACACGGAGTGAACACTCTTGACACTTAGGGAACACACTATCTAAAATTTCTCTTTCTTAGAGTCAAGTGTGGTGCCACACACCTTTAATCCCAGCACTCAGTAGGAAGAGGCAGATGATCTCTGCGTTCAAGCCCACCCAGCTCTACAGATTGAGTTCCAGGACAGCCAGGGCCACAGAGAAATCCTGTCTCAAAAAAAAAATGCATTTTTCTTTCTTCAAATCTTTTTGCACCACTTAAAAAGATTCTTGAAAACTAACTCTGACTTCTGAAAAGACTAAAAATGGAAGTCTAGTCTTTTTTGTTTGTGTTTTGTCTAGTCAATACTACAACAAAACTTTTCCTTTTTGATATTCTTTATGAGAATATTTTCAATTTACCCATGATCCTCAGGAGCAAACCAGGATATCTGTGCTTCTGAATCTTTATCATTCTTAGCTTGGACAGAATTCAACAGCTGCACAATTTGCTCTTCTCGTCGTTCATCCATGTGTACCACAGCTCTCTGTTTTGTAAAAAAGAAAATTGTTATCTGTTAATGTAAACATGCATAAAATTATTTTACATCGAAAATGAAAAGATAAAGGCAAAGTAATGTTATATTCAAATACATATAAGAAAGTTAGTGACCTACGCTTACCCTCTAACCTAATCTCACTCCCTAAGTCAGATTCATGGCAATATTTGTGAGCCCTTCTAGACCTCTTAGTTTACACATGTCTATTAAATCAGCTCTAAAGATGGCCACCAAGAAGAGCATGCTGGTCTCATGCTCTCAGTCCCAAACAGAAAATAAGTGGTCATTAATGCCCAATCTCTTCAACAAGATACAAAGTAAAAGAATTCCTTCAATTTTTCTACCCTATGGTCTAGTTTTCTTTCTTCCCAACAAACCTGCTGTCAAATGCTCCATTTCTTCATCCTTCCATTTCTTGACACCCTACTGCAGTGTTTTACTAACTCATCTCCATAGCTGCTTTTATCAAGATCTTTATGACAGCAATGCACTGCCTGCCACTACCAACTTACACACTCTTCTTCCCTCCTCTGGCTAGTCCACCTTTGACCTTTTTTTCCAGACTTTTTCTGCATCTTTTACAGACAGTAGCACAGCATCATTTGGAAGCCTGTTAGCAAAGGAGACTCTCTCAAGCCTGGTCTCAGTCACAGACATTGACAAGGTACCAGGTGAATCCCACACATATTCAAGTTTGTGAAATAAAATCTGTGAACTTCAGAAACTAGGTGTTCTTTTCATTGTGTACCCTCACTTCAAAAGTATCCATGGATCCTTGCATTGCCAAATGCTAACTCTAGTCAAAGATTTCCTAGGTCAGTGGTTCTCAACCAATGGGTTCTGACCCTTGGGGTCCAAAGGCCCTTTCACAGGGGTCACCTAAGACCATCAGAAAAGATATTTACATTATGATTCACAACAGCGGCAAAATTAGTCATGAAATAGCAACAAAAATAATTTTATAGTTTGGGGGTTACCACAACATGAGAAATGGCATTAAAGGGTCGAAGCATTAGGAAGGTTGAGAACCACTGTTCTAGGTTATCAGAGCAATCCTGAAATCCTCATTGTATGCCTTACACCATCAAACTCTGTCTTTTAAAATTCTCTCATTTGAATAGATAGTCCATATTCTCCATATAATAACCTTGTCTTCTAAGTCCCCTAACACACTTATCTCTGTAAATCAGGTTTGCTATATTATGAACACAGTGACTAAGATACCAGCTCAGAAAAATTGAGTTTCCTATGCATAGACGTTGAAGGAACAATGAGGCTGCAGTGGGATGCTTTCATGTTTTTTTAAGTACAGGCTTTTTTTAATGTTAAAGAAATGGAAATTCTAGGTTACAACCGTAACAAGCTGAGTGGTGAAAGGGAAATCACACAACTGAAAAACACAACGATAATTCAGTGACGTATTTTAGAGACTAAAACAGTATAAAACTTAATGAAGAGTAGAATTATCTCAGATTCAGGGCTTGAGCTCAGAACCATTAACTCACGGAGGTATGTTAAACCCAGATTCCCACGATTCCCAGAAAATGCCAGCGAGCATGGGCACAAGGGCATGGCTTCAGAGAACAAGACGAGAAAGTAAAGAATAAAATGCCCTAAAAATCTCTTTTAAGAGACCATCATGGGTAGGGGGAGGTTCTATAACTCAAAGAGTAGTTCAGAGGCTATAGAAAGAAAACAAAGTACTGGCCAGGTCCGTAAGTGCTGTAGAGATAAGCAAGAAAGCAGAGCTAACAGATTTGCCAAAAAAAAAAGAGAAAAGTCATCGTTCACCTCCATGTGGCAAGTGAATAAACAGCACTGGCAAATGGAACTTTGTGGATGGACTTGGGAGTCAAGGGTTCCGCTAATTAAAGCCCAGCCCTGAGGTGCACACACATGAAATCCCAGCACTTGGATCAGCCTGCGCTAAACAGCACTAATATCCAGTACACAAGTTATCTGCACCCTTTGTATGTACGGAGAAAAATAACTTTCACTTACTTAACGTACTTGTTAAGGTTGTTTCCTTCCCCCTATTATAATGCAAAGGGCTTCAGCACCCCTAAATCAGCATTCTAAAGCCAGGTATGAAACAAGGTCACTAAAGCATGTATTTTCAAAAAGAAGAAGGTAATCAAGTATCAAGATAAATTTTAAAAGTTGCAAATGCGCCTTTGAAAACGAGCTGGTTAAGGAGAAAATGAAAAAATCTGGTCTGTGTTTGAATTACATTTCCGATGTATTATAAAAGGCGCTTTTCATCAAGTCACTAAAATGTCATCCCGAAAGCTGTTGGGCAAAGATTTATTTTTCATTAGAATGGGTCATTTCAAAAGCATGACGTTTCCTATACTACAGATCTTCAAGATACAAATCAAACTGTAAATCCCCTGATGAGATTTGCCAAATACTGCCCTATAGAGTCTTCCTTGCAGGCACGGTAAGTTTCCGTCTTCAAGAGGAGCTACTACTCAACAGAAAATTCAGATGCAGAAACGAAAGGGAGAAAGGAAAAGAGTCGAGCACGTGATTCACTTTAATGCTAAAACTATTAGCTAAACTATTTGTGACAGGGTGTTACTGCTTTCGATGGCTGCTCCAGACAAAGAGCTTAAAAGTGGCAATAGGTTTTCTAAAGGAAAATATGACATTCCTAAAAAAAAGTCTGCTTGGGCTGGAATCTGAATTAGGCGTTCACCTCCAGTTCTCAAGTCTGCAAGCAGAGCACGCACCGGGGCTGCAGCAGGGATGGCTTGCGTTAGGACGCGCAGCCCGTTACCACAGGCTCGGCCGAGGCTGCACCGAGCTCGAGCCGACGCCGGCGGGTCCCGCCTCGCCCTCCATACCTCCTGCCTCTCGGCCTCCTTGTTCTTCTGCGTCTGTTTCCTGGCGTACCAGAGGCCGATCTCGCGACCCTTCAGGTGTCCGGGATGCCGTCCCCGACCCCCGCGGCCACCTCCGCCTCCTCCGCCGCCGCCCGGGCCCCGGTTCCCTCCGCCGCCGCCGCCAGAGCCCGGGCCGGAGCCCCGCGGCCCCGCGTCGCGGCTCCAGCTCTGGTGGTAGTCGTAGCTCATTGTCCCGGACGACCACTGGAGTCTAAGCAAAAAAATCAACCGCTGAAAATGGCGTCCGGGCCCGGAAGCGGGCGCACATCCGCGTCTGCTTGGCTTCCGGCGCCCAGCGCGAGAGGGCGGTCCTTGAGTGTCACAAGCAGGCATTTCCGGTGGCGTCACGGGCGGATGATGCTGAGAATGTGGCTCAGGTTCAAGGTGTGTGTGCGGGGTCCTCTTGGATGATACCGCGAGGAGAGCAGCTCCGGTACGGCAAGGTTTTTAACCTAGACTGGAAAAGTGTGGAAATTTTTGTATATTTCCATTCCTTTGGTAAAACGAATTTCTTTTCAAAGCCATGGATTGTAAATACATACACAATAAAAGCGTGGCCCAATGTATATGCTCTTCAAAGACCAAAGAAGTTCGTCATCTGTCTTAGAAACTGCCCGGCACCTCTTTTAGTCATATAAGTACACACAGGAATCTACCTTTAAAGAATCTTCGGTACTGGAACTGGGGTGTCAGCTTCCGTAAACACCCAACCTCCGCATCCTTTACTCTGCTCACTAATTAGAATGTAGCAAGAGGGAGCCCCACAGAACCACAGGGTGTAGTAATAATGGGATACTACATAGTTTAGTTGTTGTCATGAAATCTGGAATGTTCCATAATCTTTATATCAACACATTGGCCCATTTTCACATCGATATTAAGGCCCAGGAATAGAGCTTATTGCTAACAGTCTCCTTGAAAATCAGAGCCCTTAATTTTCTTCTTTCAGGTCATTATGAGGTTTTACTCTGTTAGGCTTTTCCTTCTTTTTAAGATAAGGGTTTATGCAAGAGATCTGGGAGATTTGTTACTGCAATAAATAGTCCTTGCTTGTGTGTTTTATTTCTAAGAGTTGCTGGTTTGATATCATATTTGGGCTCATTGATAAAATCAGACTATGACAGTCTGATGAATGTGTGCAGCTAATTCAACCTTGTATCATCAACAGGTGTTCTGATAGCTGTCATTCCTGGTTGGCTTACCAGCAGAAATTTCAGTTGACATCAGTTTTATGGGTACTTGGATCCATCCCAGTAATCCCTGTGCCACCAAACAACAACTCTTGACCTTTTATCTCCTGTGTGCTATAGAGGAGCATCTGGATCCTTTCTGAACTGTTTCAGAGTTGAGGAAAGTTTTGCAGTGTTGTTACAATTTGTACTAGGCAGTTTTGGGTCAACCTGATACAAGTTAGAGTATTTGGGAAGTGGGAACCTCAGCAGAGAAAATGCCCTCTTCAGATTGGCCAGTAGGCAAGACTATGATGCATTTTCTTGATTGATAAGTGGTGTGGAAGGATCCAGCCCGCCAGAAACTGGTAACAACCTAGATGGCCCTCATCTGAAAAATTGATAAAGAAAATGTTGTACATTTATACAAAAGGGTAGTACTCAGCTGTTAAAAGCAATGACATCAAGAAACTTTCTGGTAAATGGATGGAACTAGAAAAGAATTCCTGAGTGAGGTAACCCAGACCCTGAAAGACAAATGTGATATGTACTCACTCATAAATGAGTATTAGCTGTAAGTTAAATGCTACAGCCCTCAGAGCCAAAGAAGCTAAATAACAAGGAGAGGTCAAGGGAGGCTTCATGAAGCTCACTGTAAAGGGAAAATAGAATAGACATTGCTAGTGTTTTGGAGGAGGGATCAGGAAACGGGAATGGGAATGGGACCAGTAGGGATCAGGTGGGGAGAGGATGGAGGGAGCAAGTACTGGGAGAGACAACTGGTATCTGGGGGCATCTTTGCAATGAGCTAGAAACCTAGATCAATGAAAACTCCCAGAAATATATGAGGGTGACCCTAGTTAAGACTCCTAGCATTATGAGATATGCAGCCTGAATCAGCCATCTCCTGTAACCAGGCAAGATTTCCAGTGAAGGGTCTGGACCACCACCCCAGACACAAACCCTTCAGCCTGCAATTGTCCTGCCTACAAAATGTGCTGGGGTAAAGATGGTACTTAAACTATGGGAGTGACCAACTGATGACTGGCATAATTAGAGACCCATACCATGAGCGGGAGCTCCCCATTGAGAACTAGGACCAGAAGTGGGATACCCCAGAGATCAGAATAGAATCAAATACAAATGGCAGAAAAGGTCAATAGAATGATCCTGATGATACTCTGCTATGCTCGTAGATTGGTGCCAAGCCCAATTGTCATCAGAGAGGCTTCATCCAGAAACTGGTGCAAACATACGCAGAGACCCACAGCAAAATACTAGTTGGAATTTGGGGAATCCTGCAGAAGAGAGGGAGGAAGGATTGTAACATCCAGTGGTGTCAAGGGCACCACAAAAGAACAACAACAAAACAAACCCAGAACCAACTAACTATGTTCACAGGGGCTCACAGAGACTGAATTGACAGCCAGGGAGGCTGCATCGGCCTGACCTAGGTCCTCTCAATATATGTTACAGCTGTATAACTTGGTCTTTGTGTGAGACTCCTAGCAGATAAAGCAGGGGATGTCTTTGACTCTATTACTTGCTTTTGGGACCCATTCCTCCTACCGGATTGCCCCATCTAACCTTATTGGAACTGTGAAAGAGGCTGATGGTGGGAAAAGGCAGAGGGTTTTTACCTCAGGTTCAGTTTATTCCCTGGATTGTTTTTTCGATGTGATATCATGTCCCCTGTGAGAAACATTGACATTCAATTTATAAGACATGTTTATTCTTGCTGGGTGTCAGAACATAGCTATAGAACCCAATCTGGTCAGTGTACCATGAATCTGGATATGACCTTCTGCCCTTATTTTCATGCTTTTCCAGATATAATCTGTATTATGTGTCAGGAAATTGTGTTTAAATTGGTCTGTCCTGAGAAAATTCTGGGAAAGGACCGCTCTGTTATAAGTCAACAAAAGTTGATGGTATCTGTCATCTGAGCAGTTGTACATTTTTTTTAAGGAAAAATGTAGATTAAAACCAGCTAAGGACATTTATGGCTGTTGGGACACGGGGAGTCACTTGGGGATACTGTTGCCCATGCACCAATAGATGTACCCACACACCCATGTACATATAGGTAGCAATAATTGGACTCAGTGGATTTTTTAGTTGTTTGTTTGTTTTTGTTTTTTTGAGACAGGGATTCTTTGTGTAACTTTGGTACCTGTCCTGAAACTTGCTCTTGTAGACCAGGCTGGCCTCAAACTCATAGAAATCCATCTGCCTCTGCCTCCCAAGTGCTGGGATTAAAGGCGTGTGCCACCACTGCCCAAGCGCCAACTCAGTGGATTTTTAATTTTAAAGAAGACGACATGAAAAATGGGAGGTGATGTATTGAAGAGGATCCGGGGGGATGGGGTGGGGAAATTGGAAGAGGTTATGAACAAGATGTACTATACACATGCATGAAATTTTCAAAGAATTAGTTGTAAATTTAAAAAAATAGGATAAAAATTAAAACAGGAGAAAATTACATAAATAGAATCAGGCAGGGGAAGAAATGAATAGTGCAAACTCCAGGAAAAGTTCCAAGTGTAGAATTTCTATTGTACTTTTCTCATGGAGTCATGGACAACCTTCCTTTTCTCTGCATGACAACAAACTCATTTGAATGCTTGTTGGGACTCCATCATAGGAAGAGCAGAATTGGGTCTGGTAGACTGTTCAGGTGACAAACACAAGTTTCTAGTCCCTCAAATGCTCAAGCTGATATAAGGAGATCCAAAAGCTCTCATTATAAACCAGTCTATTATTGTCTGGTTTGTTCGGGACCAGCAAAGAGGGAGACAGTGAGATACAAGTAATAGAAAATACTTACGCATTATATGAGTCTGTCTGATGAATTGTGGGAACTGACAGTAATTAAGAGAATCTTTTGAACATAAAATTGATATTGTGTGGACTCTATTCACTAACTTTATACATGGCTTAAATTGTCCTATGTATACTTGTATGTGTGTTTTGTTTTATTTGAATTTTAATCTCAAGCACTTAGAAAAATTTATAGTAAATAATAGATAGCAAAAATAATGAAAAATAAATGAAATAAGCTAAAAAAAGTGAGTCAGAGAAGATCTGTTTATGGAATCTAATGTCAGAGAAATTTATCAGAAGAGCTTTGAAACAGTGCACAACCAAGTTCCCCTTGTGTTCTGAGAAATACAACAGGCTTTTCTGTTTTAAAATTAATTGCCTCTGTCAAGATCAGCTGTCAGAAATATTAGGGATTATATAGTATGTGTTTAAATTATTTGGTTTCTACAGGCACTGTACTTTTGCAGTTGGTAGGTGTCACCACCAGATGGTGACACTAACAATGAACCAGTTTTTATCTTCAGGTATATCAGTTTATAGACAGAAGAGAAAAGCTCTGCCTAATTTACTGTTTCTTAATAATGAGAATTTTATAACTTTATCTTACAAGGGTAAGTTCAGACATTTATATATAGTACAAAATATCAAGATACTTCCTGTGTCAAAAGAGTTTCATGATTAGACTCACTCTAAAGAGTAAATAAACTCAAGTAGGCGTGTGTAAAACTTCTCCCTCGTTACAAGGATTTGGAGGTGATGTTTATGCTTCTGCATGACCCAATTTGTGTTTTGTCGTCGATTCAATACAGATGGCTCAGAATGCTGTTACAATTTATTTTTAAATTTAATTTAATTGAATGTGTGTGGGTGTTTTGCCTGCATGTATAGTTCTGCACGATGTGTATGCAGTCTGAAGAAGTCAAAAGAAGCATCCAATCTTCTGGAACTCGATGTGGGTCTTGAGGATCTAACCCAGGTCTCCACAAAATAGTCAGTGTTCTTAATCATTGATCCATCTCTCCAGCACATGTATTACAATTTTTTATATAATTTCTATTAGCCTTTTAATGAATGTCTCAGATAATTAATCCCAGTACTCTTTATTACAGAAAACATTTAAATATATCCCTTGTATAGCATAAGAAACAAGAATAGTTAAGTAGGAATATACTTTATTTTTTTACTTTTTGGTTTTCCCAGCCTAGGCTTATCCAGCAAAAAAAAAAAAAAAAAAAAAAAAAAAAAATGGAAGATAGTCAGAAATCCAGATAGTACTGTCTTCTAATCTTTGAAATCTTTATTTTCATCATCTCATCAAAGGCTCCAAAAATGATTTGTGTACATTCAAATCTTAATCATGATCTTTAAAATCCTTCCTAACAGTCAAAAATTGCATTTAAAACAGCTATATTGTTTTCTCCTTAAGAAAATTGAACATCTAGATTTGCCGAAAATTCTGTCTTACAAAGCACTGCTAGAATGTTCAATTAGATCTTCCTTGTTTGTTTGCTTCCTCTTCTTCTTTCTGTCTTTCTCATTCTTTTATTTTGGAGACAAGGTTTAATTATGCAGCCCTGGCTGCTCCAACACTTGCTCTGTAGACTTGGCTGGCCTCCAATTCTGCCTCTGGCATTTGGGGATTAAAAGTGTATGTCACCAGCTCAGTCTTCCTTCCTTCCTTTTTCTTTCTTTCTTTCTTTCTTTTTTTCTTTCTTATTGAAAACTCTTTTGGACACAGGATCTCATGTGTACAAGGTTGGCCTTAAACTCTAGGAATTAGAGAATGATCTTAAACTACAGGTGCACACTTGGAAAGACTCTACTAACTGAGGTACATGCTAAGCAGACAGAGTTGCCCAACTATCATTGTGTTCTCAATTTTGGTGAAAACGTTTTAAAACAATATATTTATAATGAGAATTCCTGTAAGTTGAAATATATATGCTATGTATAACATTGTAGGTTTGTTTTGATAAACATGAATAGTGACACTACCTTTTCTTAAGTTTAGGTAATGAGGTATTGAGTAGTAATTAGAGATGGAAAAAATTCATTGAGATAATTTTATTTGAATTTTATTGTTTTCTTGCAATATTTTATTTGTTTTGGGGCAGAGTCTTACTTGGTAGTCTAGGTGCCGGAAACTCACTGCAAGGCCCAGGCTTGCTCGAACTTGCATCTCTTCTCTGGTTTCTCTCAAACTGGAAATTTTGGTATGAGCCATCACAACTACCATTTATTTATGTATTTGTTTATTTATTCATTTTGAGATACTCATTTTTGAAGAATATTTTTGATGACGAGTACTCTCTGGAGAACAAAACAATATAAATGTTCAATGTTCATGTAAAGTAATTTTAAAACAGTTTTGACTCAGTATAATGAAATAGAAACCAAAGTGAACTGTTCTAAATATAATTAATTTAATCTGTAAATAACATATATGCCTACAATAGAGGTATGCACAATCTATAAGCACATGAAACAAGAACTTTTGTAAATAAATATTTAGGTAACATATTTAGTATGTTTATGGAAACAATAATTTTAAATAATTATTTAAAATTAAGATTAGAAAATAATAATTTTAAAATATCAGAACTTTTGAAATATACATCAGTGGTATGATGATAAGGTGGTCTGAAAAATAAATCTTGTCCTGTATTCCTTGTAATCATTTAATAGAATACAAGTTGAATTGGTTATTGTTTGAGATAACACATTGTCCTTAGGGAGGAAATCTTAAAGTTCTTAATCTAGAAATAATATTTGAAGTAAACTTTTTATGCTTCAAGAGTGGCAAAGCAAGTCTTGGAGATCTTCAGCACAGGAACAGACTCCTGTGGTTAGACTTGCGGGTTTTCTCTTCTCTCGCCAGAAGCTGTTGCCCTGGTGTGCTGTGCCTCTCAGGATTGGATGTGACAGGATTTTCTCCCTGTCTCCATTCAAAGAAATGCAACAGCTGTGGGATGGTGGGATGGTTATGGCTTGCTCTAATTTGGACCCTACAGGTTAATGTCATGAGTCGTAGTCCCCAGGAAAGTACATTTAGGAGAGGGGTAAATGGAGGTGGGACCTACTGGGATGTCTTTAATACACAGCAACATGTTCTAGAAAGGGTTAGGAACACCTTGGTCCCTTTCCTTGGCTCTCATGAGTGAGAGATTGATTATGTTCTTCCCTGAACTCATTCCACCGTGTGTCACATCCCAGAAGCCACAGAGTAGACAGATCATGAGTTTGTTGTTTCACTCGTTTTACTCTTTGGGCGGCCCAAATAATCACACATGGAGACTTATTATTACTTATAAATGTCTGGCTACAGTTTCGCTTGTTTCTAGCCAACTTATCTTAAATTATCCCTTTTACCTTTTGCCTCTGGGCTTTTATCTTTCTGTATACCTGTTTATTTATTTATTTATTTATTTATTTTTTTACTTCTTACTCTGTGGCTTGCTGCGTAGCTGGGTGGCTAGCTCTTTGAGTCCTTCTCTCTTTTCTTCTTTTCTTGCTCCTTGATCCTCTCTTCCCAGATTTCTCTCTGCTTGCCAGCCCTGCCTATCTTTTCTCCTGCCCAGCTATTGACCATTCAGCTCTTTATTAGACCAATCAGGTGTTTTAGACAGGCAAAGTAACACAGCTTCACAGAGTTAAACAAATGCAACATAAAAGAATACAACACATCTTTGCACCATTAAACAAATATTCCACAGCATAAACAAATGTGACACATCTTTAATATTCCACAACACGTTAGTTCAAATAAAGCATACCACAGGTATTGGAGGAAGAGAAACCTAACAACAAGCTTCTTTCCAGAGATGTTTGAATTAAAGATTACTTCTAATGCCACTTGCAATATACAGAATATTTAAGAGTGATTTTGACACAGTGAATAGGCAAAAGAAGACCTCTGATATATTCAAGAGAGACAAACAGAACCACTTGCTAAACTACTTGTACTCTATAACAATAAATGAAGTAACAATAGACTAGGGTTATATCTAAATTTCCATGTTAGAAGCTAATTTGCCTTATTATACAAGAACATATTTCCTGGACCACTGAAAAGGCAAAGCAGTAACTGCAATAAGCCTATCTGGCTAGACGTGTTTAGGTAAATATGCATTCAAATACAACTCAGAGTTTTGGTGCACTTTTTTTTCCATTTCCGCAACATCATTTTTCCCTCTTGCAGTCAAAAGCAGCCTGTGTGCAGAAACCCATGCATGAGAACAGTACATCCTTTTCATAAATAGGCAAAATATTAGCAAACTAGATCAGGATTTGGCTTAGGAAGGTTTTGAGAAACCAGACACAAAATTGTTCAACTGCCACAGTGTATGATTTTTAAGTAGTGTGTGAAATGCACTGTATGTATGCACAGCAGCAAGTCACCCCGAAAAATAAGAACCAGGAAAGCTTATGTAAGCCCATGATTAGAAGGAAGTGGGAAATGAGTCTCAGGACTAGGGCAAGTTTTGCAGTCCAGGGTTGCAGAGCTGTCTGACCCTGTAAGACCAGTCAATCCCTAACTAACCTCACTTTCTGCCTCCCTTTTCCTGTAGGCTTTGTTTAACAGCTGGATCTCTTCCTGGTAGCCTTCCCTGACCTGATGCTGCCGCTTACTGTTCTGTCTGTGTGCCTCCACGGTGTCTGGGATGGAGATGTTGATATCACCATCAGGATCACTTGTGGGTAAGAAGAGGGAGTAGGAGGCAGTTTCTCCTAAATCGCAGGAGACGAATCTGTTCTCCTTCCGCGAATAGCGCAAAGAAGGAGACCTGACTTTGGTTGAGGACTGGCTGATGTTGCTGATGATTGACACAGTGTCCAAAGCCTCATCGTTGTCGCAGATTTCAAGGACCTCCAAGTGTATTTTCACGCTGGTGTCTGCAAACGTGGAGGGAGTCTCCTCTGAGTTGGGTTCATGGCCCACACTTTTGGATCGATAGACTTCTATTTTCTTCGAGGCTGGGGTGATCTTTTGCCCTTCTGCGCTGACCTCATACGTAGATAGAGAGAGGGTTTTCCCTGTAGGTGCTTGGAGAGACACAGTGCCCTGGAATGCACATAAGGGAATAGCCAGCCCACCGGAACGCTGGGGACAGAAACATAAAGATTATATTATTGAAATCAACACATAGATATTCATTTTATGCATCAGAATGGTAAGTTTTCTATTTTTGATATTTTTGATATTTGATATTTTTTATTTCTTTTGATCTATTTCCCTGGAAACTATTTACAGATAATGAGATTCTCCTTCTGTAGCTGAATATCTCCTAGGGCAAATATACCTGAAGGAGTGTAGCAACTTAAGAGAAGACAAGGGGTATTTCCCAGAGTTGAAAGAGAAATGAGGGTACTGATTGAAAGCAATAGACTAGATGTTCCTGTCCAAGGGTAGGATTTGGGCATTCATTACATTCATTTTTACAATGTAGAATTGCTTTTATATTTCTGCTGCATATTCAGTTACATTTAAACGTATACATAGACCTGGAGTTTGGTTGGGGCCCAAGGACCACCCTGCAGCTAGGGTGGTGCCGAACTTAGTGGCCTGTTCTGCCACCTGGGGCCATGGTGACATCAAACCACGAAAAGCTGATGAGGGCCATGTCTGGGTCCGTGGTCCTCCCACAGTCAGGGTCTATGTTGACGCCTAGGGTCTAGGCTCAAAACAGCCATGAATAGCAAGAGCAATAACTATATATGTGGTAACTGCATCTTAACGCAAAATGGTATCACTGTCCAGTATACATTTTTGTATTTTGACAGTGTTGTGTAAGAGGTGTACGAGCACAGGAAGATTCTATCAGCATTTTCTTTGATAAAACATTTTAGTTATGGGACTTAATAAGACATCAATTTTATTGTGCAATCAGAATAACCTATTTAAATAACCTGAGACGATTCATTTCATAGTCTGTGCTTTCTATCCATTTTAAAGCCAACGAATTAGCATTTGCCTGGGAATAATGATAGCCCATTACTGCAGTATGCTTGGGAGTGTAGGTGGCTGGGAGTTTTTTTCCCCCTCCATTTGGAAATGAAAAGCTTTTCTGAACCTCACAAATACTTGAAGAGAAGAGAGCCTGCCATGTAAACACGTTAGCACAAATAATCTTCCATGATAATTGATTCAAACTTGACGACCTTGGGTATACAAAATGCCTTTTATTTTTTCACAGTTAAGCTGCTAGGTGAATTCGGGGTGAAATTATAATATAAAAAGAGTCTCTCGAGGTGATTATTCTAACAAGGTGAGGCTTTCTGCTGCTTCTGAATTATTCAATTTAAGCAAGGCTTATGGCAGCAGACAGGGTCATCACCTACCCAAAGCCACTGTGGGTTACAGGTTACCCAAGGCCACAGTCGGTCATGGGTTCTCTGAATTGGAAGCTGGAATGTACCATTAACTCATGAATATTCAAAGCGATTGGCAAATTTAATACTAAAAAAAAGTCATTTGCTGACCTTTCAGTGACTCTTGGACTTCAGAGTATATAAGTAAGGAGCCTAAGTAGAGCAAGACTTAGAGCAGTCGGGGGAAGATGGGATGGACACACCAGAAAAGAAACAAAAACCAACGGGGGTGGGGAGAAGACTTAGAGCAGTCGGGGGAAGATGGGATGGACACACCAGAAAAGAAACAAAAACCAACGGGGGTGGGGAGAAGACTTAGAGCAGTCGGGGGAAGATGGGATGGACACACCAGAAAGGAAACAAAAACCAACGGGGGTGGGGAGAAGACTTAGAGCAGTCGGGGGAAGATGGGATGGACACACCAGAAAGGAAACAAAAACCAACGGGGGTGGGGAGAAGACTTAGAGCAGTCGGGGGAAGATGGGATGGACACACCAGAAAAGAAACAAAAACCAACGGGGGTGGGGAGAAGACTTAGAGCAGTCGGGGGAAGATGGGATGGACACACCAGAAAAGAAACAAAAACCAACGGGGGTGGGGAGAAGAATTCGTGAGAAAACTAAAATTTGCTTTATGGAAATTCAGTCATTATAAAGGTTACATATTTTCATATATTCAGCTCCTCAAATCCTTTGTCCCACCATCTCTTCTTTGTATGATTAGTGAACCAAAGTATAACAGCACACAAGAACTAATTAAAACAAAAAAATGTTGTGAAAGGATATAAAGACCTTTAATATGAGACTTTCACAGGAAAAGATGTATGGCAAAATCTACCCTCCCAGACTGCCAGTCTGGGCTTTAAGCCTTTTTTTTTTTTTTCTTTTAATTTGATGTATGTATGGTGGCATAGGCTGGTTCATTTTCTTATGTGGGCTCCTGTGGAGGTCAGAGGTAGACATTTCTCAATCACTTTTTTGTTTTGTTTGTTTAAGACACTATTTTGGGTTTATTGGCTGGCCACAGGATTCGTACCTCACAACACAGGGATTAGAATATAGTGCTTTTATATGTGGGTTCTCGGTATCCATATTCAGGTCTCAGGCTTGCACAGGAAACATCTTAACCCCTGAGCCATCTCCTCATCCCAGGCTTTTTGACTGGTGAAAGTCTAACCCGGAAGACCGATGTTCACGATGACAAGTACTGATCCTGTTGAGCATGAGCCACACCTCCTGGTGGGGACTTCCGCTTTCACACTTACTATTCATGATAATCTGATAAAATGAAGGCCCTAATGATCCATTGAGTTGTGAGAGGTCGCACAATTAAGTGAAAATTGCTGTCAAATCCAAGTCCAAGATCACCTGTGTCACGGCTTTTGTTCTAAGTGTTCTATTACTCCGAGACAGTGAAACATGTCACTCTGTCGACTATAATGGGATGAATAGATTGAAATATATGAATGAAAAATTGCACACCATGAAAAAATAAAGACAAACAAGAATGGCTATATTAATAGTGAAAAATACAGGTTTCAGGGAGGTAGAGAGGGGGTTCTGTGGTTAAGAGAGCTTAATGCTTCTGTAGAGTACCTACATTCAGTGCCCAGCACCTATGTGGCAGCTCACAACTATCTGTAACTCTGGTTCTGAGATATCTAATGTCCTCTTCCAGCTTTCAAAAGCTCTTGTACTCATGTGATACACGTACACTCACTCATGAAGGAAAACACACATAGATATAATAATTTATCTTTAAGAGAAAAGAAAATAGAGACGTTGGAATGAAGAAACCTTCCAGTGACAGGAAAGAGTATTACCTGGTGCCTAAAGGATCAATCCACCAAGAAGACATAGCAGTCCTATAACGGACACAGCAAACCACAGAGTAGTGCAGTACATGAAGCGAGACTGGTAATACTGAAAAGAAAAATTCTCTGCAAAGCTGGAGGTGCCAACACTGTATCAAGCGAGAACTAAGCAGACAATCATCCAGAATAAGAAAACATTTCATCAATTAATGGGATCTGATCAATCTGTAGAAGATTTTAAGACAATTTTAAGACAGCTGTGGAATACATATTTTCTTCAAATGTTAGTGAAATGTGGATGAAAAAATTGTTCTAGTTCATAGAATAATGTAGTGATATGTATTTTTTGAAAATCTTTTTTGAACCCCTGGCTCCAAGATAACTTTTGGCAGACCTCTCAGCAAATTGATAATTCCCCTTGAGATCTTTTGAGATTGTGTGCTTAACTTCCTCTCCTGTTGTGTAAGATTGTGTACTTAACTTCCTCTCCTATTGTGTAAGATTGTGTGCTTAACTTCCTCTCCTATTGTGTAAGATTGTGTGCTTAACTTCCTCTCCTATTGTGTAAGATTGTGTGCTTAACTTCCTCTCCTATTGTGTAAGATTGTATTATTGTGTAAGATTGTGTACATACCTTCCTCTCCTATTGTGTAAGATTGTATTATTGTGTAAGATTGTGTACATACCTTCCTCTCCTATTGTGTAAGATTGTGTACATACCTTCCTCTCCTATTGTGTAAGATTGTGTGCTTACCTTCCTCTCCTATTGTGTAAGATTGTGTGCTTAACTTCCTCTCCTATTGTGTAAGATTGTGTACTTCCTCTCCTATTGTGTAAGATTGTGTACTTCCTCTCCTATTGTGTAAGATTGTATTATTGTGTAAGATTGTGTACATACCTTCCTCTCCTATTGTGTAAGATTGTGTGCTTAACTTCCTCTCCTATTGTGTAAGATTGTATTATTGTGTAAGATTGTGTACATACCTTCCTCTCCTATTGTGTAAGATTGTATTATTGTGTAAGATTGTGTACATACCTTCCTCTCCTATTGTGTAAGATTGTGTGCTTAACTTCCTCTCCTATTGTGTAAGATTGTATTATTGTGTAAGATTGTGTACTTAACTTCCTCTCCTATTGTGTAAGATTGTATTATTGTGTAAGATTGTGTACTTAACTTCCTCTCCTATTGTGTAAGATTGTATTATTGTGTAAGATTGTGTACTTAACTTCCTCTCCTATTGTGTAAGATTGTATTATTGTGTAAGATTGTGTACATACCTTCCTCTCCTATTGTGTAAGATTGTATTATTATGTAAGATTGTGTACTTAACTTCCTCTCCTATTGTGTAAGATTGTATTATTGTGTAAGATTGTGTACTTAACTTCCTCTCCTATTGTGTAAGATTGTATTATTGTGTAAGATTGTGTACTTAACTTCCTCTCCTATTGTGTAAGATTGTATTATTGTGTAAGATTGTGTACTTAACTTCCTCTCCTATTGTGTAAGATTGTGTACTTAACTTCCTCTCCTATTGTGTAAGATTGTGTACTTCCTCTCCTATTGTGTCCTCAGCCTGTTCAAAGTTAACCCACCTTTAAGAGAACAATGTAACCAACACAGCTTGCCTTGAATTTCCCACACAATTGAGCTTTTTAAACCTAAGATAAATACATAGCTTTTTATCTTCATTTGGGTACTCTTCCTTGACCCTGACCCAGAATGTTCTATGTGTGTGTTGTGGTAATCATTAGCCAAAACAGCCAACAGGTTGAAACCATCTTTAAAGCAAATAGTCACCACGAGTGTTGCAAACAAGGTAGATAAAGCTGGATAACATCTGCGTGCAGGCTTGTTTGCTCTTCTGAGTCAGATGGGATCAGTTTCTTTGGTTGTAAAACTCTGCTAAGGATTTCTGTAA